GCACTTTTAAAACCTCCCCCATTTCTGTGTCTGCTATTGCATTGCAAACACAAATCAGGTAGGTAAGGGCTCAGACTTGCTGCATGTTTTGTGGGTACAGAAAGAGAAGGCAGGACACAGCCTGGTCTATCTGCCTGCGGAAATGGACTTAGTTCTGACACACATGTGGTGGGGATGATGACACCTGACTCTATGCATGGTTACTAACCAGTATAAATGGGCCAGTGAGCAGGTGCCATCCCAGATCTTAGCTAACTTTGAGTAAAATAGTATTCTGACTCCAAGGAGGATTGCAGGATGACCTGTAGCCACCGGGCAGCTTAGAACTTAGGACCTCAGTATAGGCATCTCTCTATCTTATGAGCTAAAGGCCAGCTGGCTCTCAGCCCAGGCTATAGAGGTCTTTTGTTCTTAGCTGTTGCTATAAGTGGGGTAAGTGTCACTGCATGGAACGATGAACCACACTAGGGCTGTGTCTACATTGGCATGATCTTGCGCAAAAGCAGCTGATTTTGCACAAAAACTTGCTGCCTGTCTACACTGGCCGCGAGTTCTTGCACAAGAACACTGACGTTCTAATGTATAAAATCAGGGCTTCTTGCGCAAAAACTCTGATGCTCCTGCTCAGGAATAAGCCCTCTTGCTCAACTGTTCTTGTGCAAGAGGCCAGTGTAGACAGGCAACATGAATTTCTTGCGCAAGAAAGCCTAATGGTTAAAATGGCCATCGGAGCTCTCTTGCGCAAATACTTTAATGTGCGTTAAAGAGTATTTGCGCAAGATCATGCCAATGTAGATGTAGCCAAGGTGTGTGGGTTACAGTCACAGGGGTTGCCTTTCAGAACAGCGGTCGTGTCCAGTTAGATCGCCATGATTGAGTCCTCTCTCACTGCAAGTCATTCTCACCCAGGTCTGCGAGACATGTCACAGTTAGTGACAGAGAAACGATTCTAAGGTGCCTCCGTCTATACCGGGGCAGTGGGTGGGAGGAGAGTTACACTGTCTGCTCTGTCTTTCCAGAGGGCAAGAGGGGGTCGTTTGTAGCCCCGCCCCACAGATTCTGGTCTCGAGACTTCCTCCCAGCAGCCAGACGGACCCAAGCCTAGGTCACGGGGGCATGTTCTACCTCCAGTGAAGCTAGGGAAGAACACACTGACTTCTACTGCAAAGGAGGATGAAGAACCAGGAACAAGATCCCCATCTCCTTCCTCATGCCCATCACAGTTTCTCTAGACAATGTGGGGAAATCCTGCAGCCTGTATGTTAAACTGCCATGATGGCGTAAGCTTATCGTCAGCCCTTGACCCCTGTGATAGGACATCCATTGGCAGTGATGCTGTGTGGGTACCGTCACTCATGGGATCCCCCTCAGCAGGAGAGCAACCCAAGCCTTGGCAGGCCAAGCTGTCCCTGCTTTTCCAAGCAGGTGTTTACCATTCAGAATGACGCAATGGGCTTAGTCTGGGTGGCTTTGCATGTGGAGCCCTAGGCTGTCGCTTTCATGCGTGTCCCCTGCATGAGGGGGGCTCTTAGGATCCCACCGGAAACGTGGCGGGAGGTGAGGCAAGGAGGGTGTAGACACAGACATGCTCCGCACTCCGGGCTGGCTCCCAGGCTCGCTGAACTCGATGGGCAGACTCCCATTGATGTTGGTGGGCTTTGGATCAGGCCCTGAGAGCTCAGTAGAGAGCAAGTCTCTGTACATGGATTTGAAAGCCTCTCCCCTGTCTGCATTCAGGTCCCCTATGGAACTCCCCAGCAATCAGCATTGCCATGGGGCTGTCTGGATGCATGCTCTGAAGCAGTGAATGCCTTCCCAAGCCCTGGGGCGGTATCCACAGTAGCAAAGGTGCTTCAGGCTCTTGCAATTGGTACTCTAGGATCCCCTCTTTATCATGGGCTGAGTCTCTGTGCTGAGCTTGCCTTCCATTCAGGTGTGCACCTGCCATCGAGCTTTGGCTGCTCACCACTGTGAGAGGAGGAGTATGAAGCAGCCCAAGCAACACAGGGGCTAGAGCAGATACAGTTAAATGGAACCCATGCTGGTAGAGTAAGACTCAGAGTCAAAAAGTTGGCACAATTCCCAGAAAAAGTTTGGGAACCTCTATATTGAGGCGTGAGTTTAAAAACTCAAAGTTCGAACAAGAAATAGATATGGCCACCCCAAATCCTTCTGCTTCTCCAGATGTAGCTTGCAAGAGGAGAACACTCCTTTCCAAGTCCTGGGGGTGATTTCTGAATATATTGTTTACTGGGTAGATTTTCAAAGGCCCCACGTGTCTGTAACCAGCTCCTGATAGGTGGATACTTTAGGATTTATGACTGTGCACACAAGTGAAGGGGGCATCATAAAATGCGGCTCCTTCACCAAATGTCTCACATAATGCCAAAAAAATATTCACTATCTCAAACATGTTCCACTGCTGGGAACAATTCTGTACAGATCCTCAGGGAAAGGTGGCATCTAATACAATTACATTCTTATCTCTGATTTGTACAGTCCTATGACTCACATACAGTCTGTTTATAATATCCAGCTACCCCCGCAAATAAACAGACAAGATTCAAATTGTCATCTGAACAGGAGTCTTCCTTATGGAAGTTTTAATTCTCCTTCCCTTCTCTGAAAACACATTCCTCTGAAATTAACAAGGACATTTTTATCCAGCAGAAAGCATCCTCTTTAGCATTGCTGCATTCCATCCACAATGCTATTGGCTTGGCATGTCTCTCAACCAGGCAAACAAGGACTTCACACCTTGGTGATCCTATTCTATAACTCCGGACATGCCACGTCATATCCAACCACAAAAACCTAAAGGCCAAAACAAAGGCAGCAAAACTGCAAAGCTGGGAAAAGGCCATCTTCAAACACAGAGGGGCTTTCCAGCAGGAGCAGCAGAGGAGAGTTATTCTGCAGGCAGCCAAGCTTTGTTTTCTCACAGCGATAATCTTTTAAGGTTGTTCAAAACTGAAGTTTAAATGCCCTCTAACGGCCTCTAGTTAAACCTGCAGAGGCAACTCACTATCTCCTCCCATGGACAAATGTGAACTGCAACTAGAAGAGAGCTGCATTTCAGATTATGAATCCAGACAAGATCTGGCAATTTCAGTTTTTCTATATGTGAATTTGAAAATATCTAGCAGTATAGCTTGTATTAATGCATCTCAGCAAGGGTATGTCTAGACTTCATCCCTTATGCCTCCTGCAAGGAGGTTTACAGGATCTGTCGAAAAAAGCTTTCTTTCTCAACAGATCCCCCTCTAGACTGCCACTTTTTGCTGACAAGTGCTGAGCCGGCAAAACGCAGCAACCATTTTTATGCAAATTAGGCACGGGATATTTAAATCCCTGCCTCATTTGCAATGTCAGCCTGCCTAATCTGCATCCCTCTGCTGACAGAGGGATGCAATCTAGACATACCCCAAGGGAGTGAACCCTGTTCTGATCTCACACTCGTTTTACACAGGTGAATCTTCACTGACATCAGTGGAGTTATGCCCGATTTACAGTGGTATAAAGGAGACTAGAATCAGGACCAAATAGCTTGGATATGTCTGCGGTTCAGGAAGCTTAAATTTGGATACGAGAAATGTAGGCAAAATAAAAACATTTAAAAATTCATAACATTGTGTCAGCTAGTTGTAGTCTCTCAGCGTCTCTTAAACACTGTTAGGTCTTTTGATTACATTGGTTTCCATTTTAATGTGGTGTATCTCTCTATACATGCATATGTACCAACTGGGGTGTACATGGATGGAGGGTTTTATTATTAATGTGTATAATGGTGGCATATAGGAACCCCAGTCAAGGACCCATTGAACTAGGTACTGGACAAACACAGAATAAAAAGAAAGTGATGTGTGCATGTATCAGTGTGTGGACCACTTGGACTATGTAGGCATGAGCTCATATGATTGAGTTGTGGGTATATGGATTAGTTTGTGCTTCTGTACAAGAGTATGCATACCTCTTGGGCACGTGGCTGTGTAGATCAGTGTTTCTTAAACTGTATTCTGCAGCACACCGGAGGTGTGCCATGGAGAACAACAGAATTCAAAATGGCCACCTTTAAAAGGGCAGGTGACCTTTTTTTTTTTGCTCAGTAACTTTTCCCCTGACTCTTGACTTTTTTTTTTTTTGCTCAACAAAAATCCATGGTGTTCCCCATAAAAAAAAATTATTGTTTGGTATTCCTTGGTCTTAAAAAGTTTAAGAAACACTGGTGTAGATTATTTAAATTACAATATTAAATGTCTGTGAGCTAATGATATTAGAGGTGATGACAGACATTTACCTCCCCCCACCCCGCATCCCCCTTCTGTTCTGAAATTTGATTTGTCCTTTTCATATGTGTTCATTTTTTTAATTGTATCCTTTGGTATATATGGTTGTGACAATTTTCTTCCACTATTTGATCTGAGGAAGTGGGTCTGGCCCATGAAAGCTCATCACCTATTAAACCATCTTGTTAGTCTTTAAAGTGCTACATAGTCCTGTTTTTTAATATCATCTTATGCTCTCTCATTGTGTCACATTAACATCAATGCACATTACTTTGCCACTCTTCATTTTCCTGAGAAATTATGGGCTGAATTCCTTGTCCTTAACTCAAGCTAAATCCCCACTGACTCCCTGACTACAAGATCTGGACCAATATGTTTTAAATATTTTGGGCTGCATTACCTAAATGTTGTCATCATCTTATCCACCTCCCTACCACATGGCAACAAAAGAAATGCCTGGGAGTGCAGAAATAAAAGTCTGAACAACAGATGGTACGTGTCTCTCCTGTAAACAGAGTGCAGCTGCCAAAGGTAATACTGACCTGTAACTGGCAGAGAAGTGTGCAATGCTCACTGAAGAATATACATAATCCTAGTCTAGCTCTTTGCTAATTTGTTGAGCACAGTGCGTTTCAAGCCATGAAATAAATCTCATTGGAATGCTTTCTTCAAACACCATTATCATAGCACTCTGTGTTCATTAAGGTAACTCCTTTAGATAAAATCAGTTGACAATTTTTCTCCATGTCCCTATATTTAGATAGCTGGTGGAAAAAAATGTCTTTGATGTTTTTCAGTCATCGGTAGAGGAAAATGGTGCATAGCTCAAGCTGCACATGCAATAAGGTCTTATAAAATTCATTATCTTTGCTACCATTATAAAGTACTTATCAAATATTGCTCACACTCACCTCTTATGCTGATAAAAGGGATTAAGAACGTATAGGAAATCTGAAATTCTTGTCTCAACTACAACTAATTCAATGCAATTCTTTGCAATAATTTATTTTTTCTGCAAGATGCCACTTCTCACTGAGTAAGCAGGAAACATATAAATAATAAATGAATACATGCTAATGAACTGGAAGGATTGCTCTTTCCATAGAATGCAAGGTAGCCAATTCTTGCAATTTAGTTGGGAGATTTTCAATATTTGGTATTTTTAAGAAGGCCCCTTGCTTATTGGACAAGTGAGTAGATGAGATTCTCAGGTGGCATGTTTTAAAGAAGACTAAGTTTCTAGTCCTGATGGTTGTGGAGAAAAGCTTGAAAAGGTGACCCTTCATGCCGAAAGCCAGAAGGCAAAGCAGAACCTCTAATGTACTGTTCTTTAAAATCTCCTGATTTTTGTCTCAGAAGGGTAGCACTATTACAGCCGGTCCCCGAGTTGTGAACGGTCGAGTTACAACCGTTCGCATTTATGACCAAAGTGGTCCCTGAGTTACGAACGCGACCTGCTCTTACGAACAGCGCGGTCGCTATGTAACTCAGTGGGGTCTGAGTTACAAACAGATCGAGTTACGGCCAAGTGTTTGGTCCTAACTCGTTCGTAACACGGGGAGAGGCTGTAGTCTTCAACTTTAAAAATGAGCAGTCCCGTGGCACCTTAGAGACTAACAAATTTATTAGGTCATGAGCTTTTGTGGGTAAAACCCACTTCATCAGATAAGTTGGAGTGGAAATACAGAATACAGGGTATAGACGACAGCAAAAGATCAGGACTAGTGTTAATAAAGCTAATTAAGCCAGGCTGGATGTGTCTCATTCACAGCATTTGATGTGGAAATGGAAATATCAAAGGCAGGAAATTGCCTTGGTAGTGCATTAACCAGTTAAGATCTGTATACAAGCCCAAGGTGATAGTATTGAACTTGTAAATGACACAAAAATCAGAATTCATTCTTGGAATGGAGCATGGCTTATGATTTTTGAACAGTTGGGATTGGTCACAGAATCCTAGAAGTGGGAGGACAAAAATCAAACTAACAAAAAGTCCCCTACAAGAAGGCCTCCAAACCAACTTCAGCTACCAGAGTTCTTAGTTCTCTTAGGCTACATCTACACTGCAGCCTTCTTGTGCATGTACTGTTTTACACAAGAGTTCTTGTGCGAAAGGTCTTGCGCAAGAGTGCGTCCACACTGCCATGTGCTTTTGTGCAAGAGTGTCATGGCAGTGTGGATGCTCTCTTGTGCAAGAAAGCTCTGATGGCCATTTTAGCCATAGGTTTCTTGCGCAAGAACCCCCTGTTGCCTGTCCACAATGCCTTCTTGCACAAGAGGATAATGAGTCTTGTGGATAAGGGAGAAGCGGGGGATGTGGTTTACCCAGACTTTAGTAAGGCATTTGATACGGTCTCGCATGATATTCTTATCAATAAACTAGGCAAATACAACTTAGATGGGGCTACTATAAGGTGGGTGCATAACTGGCTGGATAACCATACTCAGAGAGTAGTTATTAATGGTTCTCAATCTTGCTTTAAAGGTATAACAAGTGGGGTTCCGCAGGGGTCTGTTTTGGGACCAGCTCTATTCAATATCTTCATCAATTATTTAGATATTGGCATTGAAAGTACGCTTATTAAGTTTGCAGATGATACCAAGCTGGGAGGGGTTGCAACTGCTTTTGAGGGTAGGGTAATAATTCAAAATGATCTGGGCAAATTGGAGAAATGGTAAACAGGATGAAGTTTAATAACAACAAATGCAAAGCGCTCCACTTAGGAAGGAACAATCAGTTTCACACATACAGAATGGGAAGCGAATGTCTAGGAAGACGTACGGCAGAAAAGGATCTAGGGGTTATAGTGGACCACAAGCTAAATATGAATCAACAGTGTGATGCTGTTGCAAAAAAACAAACATGATTCTGGGATGCATTAACACGTGTGTTGTGAGCAAGACACGAGAAGTCATTCTTTCACTCTACTCTGCGCAGGTTAGGCCTCAGTTGGAGTATTGTGTCCAGTTCTGGGCACCGCATTTCAAGAAAGATGTGGAGAAATTGGAGAGGGTCCAGAGAAGAGCAACGAGAATGATTAAAGGTCTAGAGAACATGACCTATAAGGGAAGGCTGAAGGAATTAGGTTTGGTTAGTTTAGAAAAGAGACGATTGAGGGGGGACATGATAGCAGTTTTCAGTTATCTAAAAGGGTGTCATAAGGAGGAGGATGAAAACTTGTTCATCTTGGCCTCTGAGGATAGAACAAGAAGCAATGGGATTAAACTGCAGCAAGGGAGGTATAGGTTGGACGTTAGGAAAAAGTTCCTAACTGTCAGGGTGGTTAAACACTGGAATAAATTGCCCAGGGTGGTTGTGGAATCCCCATCTCTGGAGATATTTAAGAGTAGATTAGATAAATGTTACCAGGGATGTTCTAGACAGTATTTGGTCCTGCCATGAGGGCAGGGGACTGGACTCGACGACCTCTCAAGGTCCCTTCCAGTCCTAGTATTCTATGATTCTATAACAAATAGTCTGGCAGCACTTTAAAGACTAACAAAATATGCAGATGGCATCATGAGCTTTTGTGGGCACTGTCCACCTCTTCAGATGACCAGCGTTTTGGTATATCCAACACTCCTATCATCTGACGAAGTGGGCTGTGCCCACAAAAGCTCATGATACCATCTACATATTTTGTTAGCCTTTAAAGTGCTGCCAGACTATTTGTTGTTTAAGTTTTTAGGATTTTTTAAACAGGCAGCTATCACCATAATAAGAGTAAAATAGATCAAGTTTCAAGAGGAGTTCGGGGAGTCTTTGGTGCTTTGTTTTTTGGTACAAGCTGTTTGGAGTATGTGTTGTTGTTTGGTTGGTTTGCTTATTTCAGGCATTTTGGGGGTCGGGAGGGTATAAGTATCATTCTTTATACAGTAGAACAGCTTTTTCAAGGAGGAATGTTATGCACAGTGCTTTTTCTGTTAAAAAAAAAGGTGTTGGTACTCCAGGGGAAAAGTTGTTGAGCTCTGACTGGAGGTGCCAGTACTGTGTACCAGGCAGTACCGTCACAAAAAAAGCACTGGTTGTGCAGCTTCATACAGATAGCTGCGGGCGAACGGCCACGCCCCCTGGCGCCCGGCAACCCCAAAAGGTTGGGGACCACTGGTCTAGACAGTATTTGGTCCTGCCATGAGGGCAGGGGACTGGACTTGATGACCTCTCGAGGTCCCTTCCAGTCTTAATATTCTATGATTCTATGATTCTAAGAGCTCCTACGCAAGAGGGCTTATTCCTTGTGAGGAGAGGAATAACTCTTGCGCAAGAAGCCCTCTGTTCCAACGCTTTACTATAAATTGACTTGTGCAAGAACATGCATGCAGTGTAGACGCTCCACAAGTTTTTGCGCAAGAATGGCCGTTCTTGCTCAAGAAGCCTGCAGTGTAGACGTAGCCTTATTGTTTTGGGACCCAGGCAGGCTTTCTCCCTTTCTTTTGGATGTTGCTAGGCCAAGCAGGAGAAACCTAACCCTGTTCATAAGGCCCTTAGATCAGACCAACCAAACTTACCGTCAGAGAAAAAAAATACCTAGGTGCTAGTCTCAAGCCCTGACTATCTACACCCTGCAATAATAACCCACCCTCATGCAGCTTCCTTTTCCTGTTTATATAGCCCAGCCCCAGGCTGCGGCAGGATGCTCTTTGATCGCACCTGCCCTCTCACGGCTGTGAGCTTCAGACTATTCCTTAAAGGGGTAGCACACCACACCACAGGTTAGCAATACTGTACTAGGAAAAGGCTGGCACTGAAATGCTC